CCAAATCACAAATCTTTGTGAATAACAAAGATTCACAAAGTGATTCTACACATTTTGATCATGGTTTTAACACGAAAACACAAATTTAAAAAAAAAAGGATCAAACACAAGAAAAAAATAAGAACAAGATGAATAACACACAAATTTTCAGAAAAATATCTTCGAAAAATCTTCAAAACCACTAATTTCTTTTCTTGATTTCGTGCATTTCCTGCTCTGATACCAATTGAGAGTCCTTATGATGATCAATCTTCAATAAGCTTCAAACATCCATGTCAGATCTAAGATTTTCTTCAAGAACATGAGAGGAGTTGATGAGATAAAAAGTCAAGTCTCAAACTTTGGTCAAATTCTTATTATTACGTAAACTAATATTACAATGAAGTCTCCTACCAAATTTTAAAGAATAAACCCTTTATATAGAGTCAAACTAGAATGTCACTAGTCAAAGTCAACTTTACAGAAAAGTCAAACACGATGTCTAAAACAATTATAGACAATTTTATCTTTCAGGACGAATACAATTTAACACTGAATTTCAGTCATAACACTTACCTACTTTATGAAAAGACGACTGGTCATGTACAGCCAAAATGACTATTTACTGTAGCAAAGGACAAACTTTCCTTCAAAAGCTTGACACATGTTTTGTACCTTCTGAATTGCACTAAATGCAATGGATATAAATAGATAAGTGTTCTCTACTCAGTTATCACTTCTTCATCTCTAATAAACTTACCTAGAGAAGATACTTCACTCTCTTTACTCTCATCTTAGGAGAAAGAACCACTTAGAACAAGTGAAGAGTATTTATATTTCTTATCTTTATTTCTTTGTAGCAAATCTTTTCTCTTTACTATTTTGTAATTGTGTGAACCTTATAATGTTTAGAAAGGTTTCTTTACCTTATCTCTTCCGCAAACAATCTGTAAAATTTGTATTGATCATTCTTTATCAATATATAATTTTTAAAAGTGAAAGTTTATGTGTTTGTATTCACTCCCCTTCTACAAAATGATTACCTATAACTCTTGTAGATCCGGCTGAGATCAACAAGTGGTAGCAGAGCAGCGTTTGTTTTTTGTTGTTAATTTATTGGTATTTTATTATATTTTATTCTCTAAATAATTTATTCTTTTACAAATAGCTTTACAAAACACAAACACTCACTTTCACGACAATGGCTCTATTGCCAAACCTTTCCGTTTCATTAGAGACAATTTTAGTCTCTGGAAGAATTGGATGTCTTTATTCTTGGAAGGTGTGGATCCTGAGATTCCATACTATATAGAAAATGGACCTTATGTTTCATATGCTATCTCTCCAGTAGTTCCTACAATTGCTATAACTGTCGCAATTCCTGAACGACAGATTCCAAAGATCCCTCATCAATGGAGTGATGAAGACAAGAAGAAGATAGCTTTAGACACTCGTGTGAGGTCTATTATAGTCATGTCTCTTCCTGATGAGTTATATCACTTAGTGATGAAGCACAAAACCTTGAAATCCATGTGGGACACTCTATGTGTTCAATATGAAGGTACTACTACAGTACAAGAGTCGAGGAACAAAAATTTAGTAAGACAATATGAAAGCTTTCTGTGTGGAAAGACTGAAACTTTACCTGAAGTACATCAACATTTTAATTGTCTTCTTATCAATTTAAGGACAGTTGGAAGAGAATATTCCAACTCTGAGACTCTGACAACATTTCTTGAATGCTTGCCAGAATCATGGGATCAATATACCATGTGTCTTAAGATGTCCAAAGACATGTCCACACACACACTCTCTCTCATAGTACTCTTTATGGAATATTGCTTAATCATGAGCAGTCCCGTCAGCTAAAGAAGAATCTTATTAAAGACTCTAGAGAAATGAAAAGCTCTCTGTTAGTTTTGATCTTTGAAAGCCCTTTAGTTGATCCTTCTATTTCTTCTATTCCTTCTAATTCTTCAGTTATTATCATTGAGCTTGATTTGTCTAACTCAAAGGGCTTGTCAGATGTTGATCTATCAGATTTTCATGAGTCACTGGCTCTTCTTACTAATTCTTTTAGAAGGTACGCCAGAAAAAGTAATTACTGCAGATCTCCATCGTTGACCTTCTCCAAAAAGCCAAAGTCAAATCCAATTGACAAAGCTTCAGCAATCTGCTACAAATGCCAACGCAAAGGTCACTTTGCTAGTGAATGCAAGTCTAAGAAGACTGGAACGCCATATTCGAAACCCCAATCCTCCTTCAGATCTAAAGATGACAAATACCTGAAGCGGAAGGATAAGTATAAGAATATGAAGAACTCTCAGCGAAAAGGCAAAGGTCTTGTCGATGAAGAAACATGATTCGGCTGATTCTTCTGAAGAATCATCCTCTGATGAGGAAGATAAGGCCTATCTTTGTCTAATGGTCAAGGATATCAAAGATGAACCATCATAGACATCATCCTCCAGTGATCCTTCGTCATCTACTCCAACTCATGTATGTTCCTTGAACGAACCCTCTTCTTCTACCTCTAATAGCTTATCTGCGCTAGATACATTGACGATTGATCTTTACAATGCCCCAAATGAAAAACCCAAAGCTGAAAAGCTTAACCTTGAGCTTCAAAAACAATTGGGAAGATGCCATTCTAATATCAAAAAGCTGACTACGATTGAAAAAAATCTCGAGGATAAGGTCATTGTAAACCAAACCATAAACATCAAACTCAAGCAGGCTATCGCTGAGCGTGAGCAAGCTATTGCTAAACTCAAGGCTGAGAAGGCTACTAATGAAGGGTGGTGAAAATCCTCCATCAAGGCCTTTGAGATCATTCTCAACAATAGAGACAAACTTGGAAAGTTTGATCCCAAAGCTGATGAAGGAATCTTCCTTGGATATTCTTTAGTATCCAAAGCCTTCAGAGTGTTCAACAAAAGAAGAAAGACTATAGAAGAATCTATCCATGTCACATTTGATGATCTCAATCAGCTAACTCTAAACCCATCTTTGAAGATGATCAAGATTTAGACAACAGGATGATATCTCATATGGACAACCTGAAGCTTCCTTCAGCAATCAACCAAGCGCTGATCCTCAAGAAGCTGACGATGATCCAATTATCATTCCAGATGTGACTAATAACAAAGTTGAATCCTCTTCAGAGATAGCTGTTGTTCCCATTGGTCACTTACCTCGTTCTACTTCAAACACTGACCCTTCAGTCGTTGAAAATCCTTTAGTTTCTAAACCTCTATTAGTTACTGAATCACTTACTGAGGTTCCTTTAGCAATCCAACCTATTGCTGAAGAATATGTTGTTGAAGACTCATTGTCTATGCCTGAGGTTACAATCTCAATTGATAATCCTCTACCAGCTCAGTGATGGATAAAGGACCATCCAATACATCAAATTCTTGGTGATCCAGGTGCAGGTATTCAGACACAACGTGGTCTAGGTAGTATCTGTCTCTTTGTCAACTTCCTTTCTATAGTTGAGCCTAAGAAAATCAATGAGGCTATCACTAAACCAAATTGGCTCATTGCTATGCAAGAAGAACTCACTGAGTTTGATAGGAACCAAGCCTGGTACCTTGTCCTGCTTCCAACTGACAAAACTGTTATAGGCACCAAGTGGGTTTATCACAATAAGTTAGATAAACAAGGAATTATGACACGAAACAAGGCTCATCTTGTTGCTCAGGTTTTCAAGCAATAAAAAGGGATTGACTATGATGAAACCTTCGCACCAGTGGCTAGACTCGAAACTATTCGACTCTTTCTAGATTTTCCTACCTATAGATACTTCAAAGTCTTCCAAATGGATGTAAAAAACATTTTTCTAAATGGAAGGCTTCATGAGGAATTTATGTTGAGAAACCTCTAGGGTTTCTTGACCCCAAGTATCCCAATCATGTCTATAGATTGGATAAAACTCTTTATGGATTAAAACAAGCCCCTCATGCCTGGTGTGATAACCTCTCCTCATTTCTCATATATGAGAGTTTCGTTCGTGGCAAGATTGACCAGACATTGTTTCTTAGGAAAGTTAAAAGTCACATCATTCTAGTTCAAATTTGTGATGATAATATAATTTTTGGTCCCACTAATCCCTCTTTGTGTTTCTGTTCGCTGAACGCATGAAGAAAGAATATTAGATGAGCATGATGGGAGAATGTTAGGACTGAGAAATCAGTATTAATTGTATTCGTCTTGAAAGATTAATTTTAGTCTATAATTGTAAAAGTCAGCGTGTTTGACTTTCTTAGACTAGTTTGACTTTGACTTTGTATTAACATGTTGACCATATAAATAGATAGGTAATCTTTGTAATTAGAAAAAGTGAGCTAATTGTAATATTCAGAAAAATAATAGAGAGTTTGACTGAGATTTACAAGTTGACTTTTTCTCTCTAGATCCTTATGAATGTTCATATGATGTTCTTACATGACTAACTAAATCTGCCATGATTGTGATGATGATATAAAGAATTGATCAGATATTGTGGACACACAATTGGTATTAGAGCAGGATGCAAGAAATCAGAGAAAGAATCAAGAAGATAAGTGATTTTTTTTATTTTCTGAATTTTTTTGTTTTTCGTGTTCTTCGTGTTCTTGACATTTTTTTTAATTTTGATCCGATTTTTCCATAAAATCTTGTGTTTGATGTTAAAAACATGATCAATATGTTTGAAATTGAATTGTGAATCTTTGTTATTCACAAACTTTTCTGATTTGATCAACTTTTATCAAGATTTGATCGGATTTTTGTGTTTTAATTTTTTTTCGTGTTCTTGAATTTTTTTAAAAACCAGTGTTTTTGATCCATTTTGTTGTTAAATTTTTTTTTGTTTTTGTGTTTTTAAGTGTTTTGATCTGTTTTTGAATTTTTTTTGGTTAATTTTTTTTGTTTTGTTAAACCGTCTAAAGTTCACCTGGTTTAATCACTTGAATTTTGTTTGGGCTTAAGTCTAATTTTGGCCCATTATATTGAACGGACTAAGAGTCCGCTTACAAGTTATCTTCATCGTCCTGGAAAATTGAACAGAGGAAACAATCGGATTTGCAAGTAAATCGAGCGGAGAGGTAAACTTCAAGCGGTATTCATATTCACCGCTCATCACTTGAAGCCTTCATTCAGCCGGTGTTCATCTACACCGCAGAAGCATTGCCCTGTATTCATCTACACCGGAGAAGACTTGACCGGTATTCATCAAGCGGTATTCATCATATATACCGGTCACCACTTGACCGGATTAGGGTTCAGCAGGTAAGATTTCTTGAACGGTTTTAGCCACACCGTTTGATTTCAAGTTAGGTTTTCAATTTTTGAGTGGTATTCTTAACCGGGTTAGTAAGTTTTTGCTTTAAACAAAGTTTAGGATTTAGGACTTGTGCAATTGAACTAAATTGAGCGGACTTCTAATCCGCTTAATTCATTTTACCTAGATTCGAATTTGTTCATTGCTATCTTGACAAGAATTGATTTCTTTTTGACAATTCATCATTGGTATTCTTAATTGCTGGTTGTTTGTTAGCATTAACCAGAATTGAAGTTGCTGTTTGTTATGTAACAGGTTAAGCAACATGTTTAAAACATTTTCTGTTTTGAAATTTCTGTTTTGAAACAGCAGTGATTATCACATCATTTCTGTTTTGAAACAGCAATAGGACATAACAGCAACAGCAACAAGTTGCTGTGATTTCAACAGCAACAACAAGAGACATGTTTGGTGTTTTTGCAGATTTCTCTTGATTGTATTACAGATCGATTTGAAACAGTGCAGCAACAGATTCAACAAGGCTTCATTCTCTAAGGCTTCAATTGATGTATGTCATAAGAATGAGTAGAAAGGAAAGGTTTGGAGAACTACTCAGGAAGTTTTAGTAACAGGATGTGGACTAGAACAGCAACTCAGGTTTCTGTTTAATCTGTTTTAAAACTGTCATAACAGGTTTACTGTCATATGTTCAAAAGCATGAACTTGAGGTTGAGGTAGACCAGTTGAAAACAGAGAAAATCAGCTTGTTAATTTGAAACAAGAACAAGAAGTATATACAAGTAGACTGTTTGAAATAACAGGAAGCAGTTTAACAGATTACAAAATTTCAAAACAGCAGGTTGTGAATTGTGTGCTGTGTTTGTGATGTACAGGTTTTAAACAGCAGCTACAAATAGTTGTGTACAGGTTCTGTGTACATACAGACTGCAGCAGTTCTGAATTTTGTTCTGTATTGATTGCAGCAGTTCGGCAGATTGGACAGCAGGTTGCAGGTCTTAACATAGAGAGCAGGAAGCCGATTCACAGTGTGCAGGCAACTATTTTCACAGCAGTAACAGCAAATCCAACAGCAGCAAAGTGTGCAGGTTTTGTTAGCTGTTGGTGTAAACAGGACACAACAGCAGCAACAGGTTTACAAAAGCAAAGTGGTCTTGCCAGCTAGTCTTGACAGCAGGAAGAATGAAACAGCAGTTTGCAGTTCTTAACATCAGTCCAACATAGCAGCCAGTGTGCAGCAAAGGTTTGAAACAGCAAGCTGTGCTGTGATGGGTTTTGACAGCGACTAAAACAGCAGCTCAACAGATTGGTAACTGTTTGTAGACAACAACTTATTCAGGTTTAACTGTTTTTGGTTTTAACTGTCTTCATAACTGCTTAAATTTGTGTTTGTGTTTGGAAAGGAAAACAGCAGCTCAGATTGCTTTGAAACTGTGCAGCAACTGCAACAGACTACAGTAAAACATTTTATAACTCACAACAGAGTTTGTATCTGATTTGGATTTTGGCATTAACTAGCATGAACCATTACTGTTTGCTATTGGATTGACTAAAACAGCAGCAGATAGCATACAGACTGGAAAGCATACAGMGTGGTTAACAATAATAACAGTTTGATACTTAATCTGTTAAACTGTGTGTAAGCTGTTGTGATTCTACGTTGTTGTTTTGTTTAAACTGAATTGTTGAGACTTGGACTGTTTTGATTTAAACTGTGCAGGTTTGTTGGTGTGATTTGTTGTGGTTTATCACACAAATCTTGGTAAGAAGTTGGTGTGATCAAGAAAAGCAGTAGCAAAGCATCTGTGTGCATAATTAAGATTGGTTTTGGACAGTTTCACAGATTTGAAAGACTGTTGATTTGATTTTGCTTTCGGGGACTACGTTCAACTTCACAGAAGCACACAACATTCAAGTGGATTTTTGTATACACTTCAGAGAGCAGATAGATCATTTTTTTTAGTGTAATATCTGTATTGTATTTGGGCTTAGATTGGTGTGATTTGGACTCAGACTCAAATTCTTGGACTCGGTTTATTTTTTTATTTTTTTTTGATTGTTTGTGTTTAGATTTTTGTTTGGATCATTGTCTATTTTTTTTGCGTGAGTTTTCAGTGTTTGTGTTTTTCTATTTTTTTTTGAGCTTAACTGTTCRTATTTTTTTATCTGATTTCACTGCATAGATCCTTAACTGATCAATTTTTTTTAAAATGGCAGATATTGTACAAGAGTTGAGAGAGAAGCTTGTTGGGTCAGAAAAGAGCTATGTGACTCTTAAAGAGCATTATAGAAATTTGTATATTAAAAGTTGTGTTCAAGAGGATTCTATAACCAACTTAAAGAACAATCATAAAATTGAATGTCAACGAATTGTGAAGGAATTTGAATATAAGATTGAACAAATTGAAAATACTCGGAGTTCTGATCGAAAAAACTATGATGAT